ATATATATATATATATATATATATATATATATATATATATATATATATATATATATTATATCTGTGTGTGTGTGTATAAAAGATTATGTTTGGTCGGTTATGGTGTTTGTTGTGTATATGAATTCAATTATATTATTCAATTTCTTTACACATCCTTTTTCACAAGATTTTTAATGACTAACTACTGTTGTAAAGAAATAAGAGTTTGATCATTGTCCTTTAATAGTGTGGACATTGTTTTTGTGTGCTTGTCAATTTGAATTTTTATTACAATTATGGTAAGTGTATCTAGAATCTTGATGTGTTTTATGATAATAGAGGAGCAAACTATTGCTTTCTTGATGGCATTCTCTCTTTTGAGAGGACTTACTTTTCTGGCTCAGTAAGGAATGCATGTGTTTTAGCAGTATTTCTACTGCTTGTCAAGTTTGAGTTCACATCTTATCTGAACATCTGGTAGTAAATTAGATATGCTTAGTGAATGCAACATAGTGAAAAGTAAAAAAGAATGTGTATAGAAAGCTGTTTCTACAAATATATTCTTTTGAAATTACCTTAGGAAACCTTACATCTAGGTCATGTATTGTGGGTGAGTCCTGGTGAATGTATGATGGAAGTTTGCTTCTTTTTTATGGTCTTAGTATTTAGAGCCATAAGATAGCTTCTATGCACATGGGAATCAGGACTTGGAGCATGATCCATTAACATTCGGGCTTTTTGGTGCATGATGGTATTTGTAATGTCGAACTAGATTGCATTGTTATATACTCATGTCGAATTTTATTTTCCTTTTCCATGTTCTCATTTTTTTTTCCTTTTTTATCTTTTATTTTACTCCCATTGACAGGTTGGGTTTGATGGTCGGCGGTGGTCTTATATTGGCTGCGTTCGTGACATTTTCCTCGGAGCATCTTGCTATTAGAGCCTTTACTAAAGGCTGCGAAGATCGTCATCAGCCAAGAGCTAGAAACATATGCTTATTATGTTAATGAGCACATCGAGTAGCTTGGTTAAAGTAATGCTTGTTGTATCCATGTATCATAATTCAATTTGGAGTTCTGGAAGGTCCTCAATCATTCATCGCTGTAGTCCGTAGCATCCGATGTGCTTGTTGCATGCGTGGGGCTTTCTGTACTCTGCACCGAGAGCAAACATCCAATCCAGTTTTTGGAAGTATCAGAGCAGTACAGGGGTGGGGATGCCAAAAATGACCGAGACGGATGATGTCCAAGCTTCACGAAGACTCTTGTGTTGTACTATTCAACAGCAACATTATGTGAGCTTATTCTCGCCCAATCATGTTTTAACATATTCAAGATAGAAAACGAAAAGAAAGGAAGGTGCACAGCTACTTCCAACAACTGAGTGCGATTTTTCTTGAATCCCAACGATTGTCTGGGATACTGATATTTGGAGTGAGATTCGTTGGGGACACGCCCGTGCTGCAGGTTGCTTGGATACGGACGCTGCTTTGTCATCGCCGCTCGTTCTCTTCCGAGAAGCGTACACGAAAGGGGCAGGGAGGGGGGTGCGGGATATGTGCTTCTTATCCGGTTCACGTAGGCAAAAAAAAAAGATGGATATGTGCTTCTTATCCGATCAATGTATTCGTCATGGTCGAACCGGATCGGATGGTTGGATTCCACCCACCCCAATCGGGTGGAGGTTTGGGTTCTGGACTTCCATCGGCCCAGACCCGGAAGGGGGGAGGGCCCCGTCTTCCCAGCATGGGCACGAGAGAAGCGGAGAAAGGAACTCCCGCGCCAGCGCTGCTTGAAAGAGACTGATGCGATGCGCTCCCTCCCTCTCTCACGCAGCTGTCTACATGTGACGCCCACTTTCGGGGTAAGAAGCGGCAAGGAGGCAGGTTTATTCGGAAATACAGGTGCATGTAGTGACCAAGGCCACCTTCCTCGGATCGACGCTGTGCTACCTGTGTCTTGCGGTACGTGTGGATGCTGGGTTCATGGTGGGGTGATGGGATGGGTGAGCATATAATAATAATAAGTAGCCGCCGCTGCTGCTGCTGCTGCTGCTGCTGGTCGCTGGTAAACAACAGCAAAACGCTTCCATTACTTTTATTGAGCACCAACGTCTCTGGTTGGGCGGTCGATTTTGCTCCCATGTGTGTGTTTATCTAGTGTTCCGAAGCTTCAGATTTCTCAACGGGAGCAGGGTGGTGTGGGTTGGGAGGCTGACTCATGACATGACCCCCCCCCCCCCCCCCCCCGGCTTCTTGCTGCTCCGGCATACAGAGTGAGGTGAGGGAGGAGACGATGCTCTCTGGAGTTGAATTTGGACTTCCTTTGCTCCGCGGTTGCATCTGTGGTTAAAGATCGAGGAGGATCTGCTTGCTCGCGTCTGCTTTTGATTGGTCACATCTTGCTACGGTCTTCGTGCTTGGTGGGGCCAGCGCTGGACGCCAGTCCTTCCATCTTCTTGCTCTTGTGTCACGGTCTCGTACTAGGGTGCCCAAGGTGGAGGAGAGCTGTTGCCTGCTTCTCGATCGTTGTTCTGGAGGGGAATCTGGAAGATCGATTTCGTGTTGTTGAAAGATCTAGAGCAGTTTGTTGCCGTGTCCATCCACATCTCGCTGCAACCATGGGCATCTTCCCCTGTTCCTCAAACGATGTTTTTGTTTTGGGTTTTCTGGTACATGTCACGGCCTAAACTCTTACCCAACTCCAGGCTTCCTTTCTCGAACGGCTCGTTGGGTGTAGGCACCTCCGGAAGGTTCTCGCAGGTTGTCTTCTTTGCGGTGGAGTTCTTGCCGGCTGATCATGCGAGCCTGAGATTCTTGTCATCATGGGAAGCCAAGCCAAGACTGTTGTTTGGTTTAGGAGGGACTTGAGGATCGAGGACAATCCGGCGTTGTCTGCCGCTGCCAAGGACGGCTGCGTCCTACCGGTTTTCATATGGTGTCCAAGTGAAGAGGGCCAGTTTTACCCGGGTCGAGTCTCCCGGTGGTGGCTGAAGCACTCCCTCGCCCACCTCGATCGGTCGTTGAGGTCCCTCGGCGCTCCTCTCACGTTCATCAGATCTGAAAGCACTCTAGCAGCCCTTTTGCAGTGCATTGGTGCAATTAGGGCTACTAGGTTGGTCTATAATCATCTTTACGGTAAGTTATCTTAATGTTTGTCTCGTTTTGGGAGGTTTCCTGCGTGTTGGGTTCTTGGCTTATCTCCTATATCAAGTTATTTTATTTTCGAGAACCATTCAGTGCAACACCAAAATTCCTTTTCTCTTCATTGATGCACCAATGCTTCGCTCTTGGTTTCCTTCTTGTTTTGTTCCACTCCATTCGATTGTTAAATCTGTATGATTCTGTGTTTGAAAATGATGTTTCGGTTTGGTGATTAGATAAGATCAATTTTTAATAACATCTTGCAACTTTGTTCCCAAGAAAACTGTGATGATTATTGACCTAAAGCAAAGATGTCTAAATTTTTGTTTCTAATCATTTTGTGATCTGTTTTGACAATGGTATACATGGAGTCCAAGTTGTACAACACTTTTTGGGTAAAATCTGGGTATGAATATGAGTAGGCCATTGCAAAAAGAATCATTTGTTCTGATGACCAATTATCAGGTTGATTTTGTGGTTCTTATCGATTTTGCAGATATCTCTCCATAGATCTGCTCAATCTGGGTTTGGAAATGTATTTCCTCGAAAAGGGGTTTCTAAGTGTTCAAACATTTCGGTTTCTTACACAAATTAGGAATTTTAAATTCTATAGTACTTTATACTCGTCCATCCAATAAACATGGTGTCCAAGCTCAATATAGACTTAAAATATAATATTTTTGACACTAAATAACAATTGTAAAATCTGTAAATAGCTGGAAATACAAAAGATTGGCATACGCTGATTGGGACATAGGGGCCAAAATAACATTGGCTCTAATAAACCTTTTAGCTGAACTAGAGTGCATCAGTTCATGAAACATTATCGAGTTAAAATGGGTTACTAACCCAACCAAAGTAGTTTAAACTGGATGACCAGAGATAAAAGTGAGAGAATATTGAATAAATTAGATAAAGATTTATCTCTTATGGTCATGAATGAAGCAATGTTAGCCAAAGCCAAAACATTTGGATAAGGATGGTCAACCTGTCTTTGGCATTTGAATCCAAGCAAAATTACCCAACAAATGATTGTAACATATTAAAAATTTTGCTATAACCTCTTAATATTGTTTTGTTGAACATCTTAAATTTTTTTGTTAATGTAAGTCCTATACCCATCCTTATGTTGTTAGCTGTTAAAATCTGTCTCGAGTTAAAAATTTGGTGAGACTGACACCCATTCTTATCTTGTCAGTTGTTTAAATTTGTCTCAAGTCAAAAAATTTGTAAGACTGACAATGTGCACAACAAATCATGCTTTGATGTTTCGAGTTATTCTAGTTCCATTTTTAGAGTCTATTGGAATGCGGTTTGTTTTCGGTCTCTGATAAGGCTAATGAATTTTCTTATCATGTTAAGTTTATTGCAGCAGTACACATTCTTCTTTGAGCTGCATGTGGAGATTAGGATCTTTATTTACCTTTTCTCCTCTGAGATGATTGTTCCCCTTCTTCTTTTCAGCTGATATCAGAATGCAATTTGACTATAACTGCCTTTCTATTGTTTGTATAAAATATTAGCACAAGGTATCGGGAACACAATATGCCAGATATTATGAACTCACAGTGGAAGTGCAATGATGTGTATTTCTAACTTAATGGATACATCCAAAACTTTGCTTTCTATCTTTCCAACAATATATAGTTCAAAAGTGCAAGTAGGCATGGAATATTATTAAAGAAATGTGTTACCTTAAAGGTCTTGGTAGCCTTCTGCATTCACATCATGATATTAGTCTGTTTACTTTCAGTACTTCTATCATCCTGTAAGCATTGCATTGAAGGACTTGTAACCCACTATGCAGATTTTCTGAACAATGGATCTTCAGTTGCTCACACTTGATAGATAGGATTTGAATGGAAAATTATTTCTTGAGAGGGCTATTCGGTCTGTCTAGATTAGTCAACTTCTGCACATGGTGATTTTGTGTCCTATCTGAAGATAACTATCTTTATTGATCTTATGTTTTCCTTTTCAATTTATTTTACCTTACTGTTCAGATCCTGTTTCACTTGTCCGTGATCATAAAATAAAAAGTCAGCTAGTGAGCCTTGGAATCAGTGTGCAAAGTTTTAATGGTGATCTCTTATATGAACCGTGGGGAGTTTATGATGAAAGTGGACTTGCTTTTACAACCTTTGATGCATACTGGGGCAAATGCAGGAGCATGCCAAATGAGCTGACAATGCTTCTTCCTCCCTGGAAGTTGGTTCCTCCTACAGGTAATATTACTCATGTAATTATGATATTCAGTGTCAAAAACCAACTACATTATGATGACTATAACACATTCACTTAAGTTATATATACCCCTTGTTTATTTTTTTTTTCTCCCTTTTGGACATACCGCCATGTTTTCTGCAAACTTATACTGTAATGGAGCCTTGATTTAGCAGGTTGTTGGTAGGTCATGGTTGGCTCTGAAATGATCTTGAAACTCTAAGGATCTTAGCCAAAATGCAACCCCGGACCTGGGGTAAGACAAATTAGTTTCCTTCAGCTAATAATCTTATGATTTTGCTACTTGTTCCTACAAGCCAAACATTAAAAAATTCACTGCTATAGTGGGCCGCATGGATCTCTAGTACTTTCTTCATGCAGCTTGTTACACGAAGGTCCTCTAAAAAATATTGGACTCTTGAGAGTCTTATAGATTAGGAGAAGTATATACACGTGTCCAGCAATTGCAGAAGTCATCTGTCCTTGTACTTAAAATTGACCTTTCAGTTGGAGTCAATCAATATAGATCTGTTTTTATCAAAAGATACTAATGGTTTTACTGTAATATTGTGGGTAGGGAGGTTATGGGTTATCATCACTGGAAGCTTGTTTAGTCTAATCTCTATAGAAGCTTTAGCTTTTCATCTGATCTGGTTGTGGCATTTATACTGACACCTATGAAATTTGTTTGTCAATTTGAACATGATAATATAAAATTCTTGGATAAGAAGGAGCAAATTTTGGATATGTGCTGCTGCAAGTTTCATTTACCATTTCAAATCATGTCACTTCTCACAAGAAGATTGCTAATGGGAACTTTTCAATTTAGAAACTAATATATGTTTTGCATGCTACACTAATGTATGTTTCATCTCATTTGTTCTGATGTGACAGGTACAGAAAGTGTCGAAAGTTGTTCGATTGAAGAGTTTGGGCTTGAAAATGAAATAGAAAAATCGAGTAATGCATTATTAAGCAGGGCCTGGTCCCCAGGTTGGAGCAATGCAGACAAGGTGTTGAGTGAATTTATTGATGAGCATCTTCTAGAATATTCCAATAATAGAATGAAGGTAGAAGGCACTACTACCTCATTGCTGTCACCCTATCTACATTTTGGTGAACTCAGTGTTAGAAAAATATATCAAAATGTCAGAATGAAGCAAATACAGTGGGCAAAGGATGGCAACTGTAAAGCAGAAGAAAGTGTGAACTTTTTCCTGCAATCAATTGGTCTCAGAGAATACTCGCGTTATCTTTGTTTTAACTTCCCATTCACATATGAGCGATCACTACTGGGTAATCTAAAACACTACCCTTGGCGTGCTGATGAAGGTCAGTTCAAGTCTTGGAGGCAGGGGAAGACTGGGTATCCTTTGGTGGATGCAGGAATGAGAGAACTTTGGGCAACTGGTTGGATACACAATAGAACTAGAGTGATTGTAGCAAGTTTTTTTGTGAAGATTTTGCTACTTCCGTGGACCTGGGGAATGAAATACTTCTGGGACACATTGCTGGATGCTGATCTCGAAAGTGACATCCTTGGTTGGCAGTATGTATCAGGAAGCTTACCCGATGGTCATGAGCTCAAACGTCTTGACAATCCTGAGGTATGCATTCTGTAACATCTACAGAGAAGTCTTGTGACCGCACCGAAACAATATGATTGGTTATTGACTAGCATTTCTATATAACTACAAATTTTGACCAGTTCTTTTGGGGGTGACATAATTAACATATATAAAACAATAGAATATAATCTTTAATCAGATTGAATATTAGAGAGATTTTAGATGGTTTATACATGTAGTATAACAATCAGAAACTTTATCAACATGTAAAGAATCAAGGAGTGTGTGGCCTCCTAATATCCCCTGAATCAGCAAGAATACTGTGCTTTGTTGGTTAGTAATTAAAGGAACTGTTGTTTCTTGCTTGTTCTGTTAGGAGAAAGTGGTCTTTTCTTTTTTTGTTCTGAGACTAACTCACTGCATCGTTTTGTGCTCTCATTTCTATTAGTTGTCCATCACATCATTTCATTTCAGCTGATGTCTGGTAAATCTTGTGCTGGTCATTTGGGTAAAACTAAAATGCTTCCTTCGTTGTAAGCATGATTTGTTGCAGACTTCTCTGTCTTGACAATACGAACTTCACACATATTCTCTCATCTGGATGTCTGCCTAGGCATTTCATTGGTAAACATTGTTTTCTCAATAGATACCATCGTTTTGATTTGGAGTCAGGTACTTGGTCAGAAGTATGATCCAGATGGTGAATATATAAGAAATTGGATTCCAGAGCTTGCGAGACTGCCAACCGAATGGATTCACCATCCGTGGGATGCTCCGAGTACAGTGCTAAAAGCAGCTGGTGTTGAGCTAGGATTGAACTACCCAAGGCCAATCGTAGAAATACTTACAGCTAGGGAGCGACTTGATGATGCTGTGGACATGATGTGGGAACTTGATAGGGCTGCAAAAGTTGCAAAATTAAGCAGTTCAGATGAAGTTGTAGCTGATAATTTGATTAATTTGAATAGTTTGGACATCCCAAAAGTTGTTGTGAAGAAAGAGGTATATTGCACTAGTTCATCTCTTGATCAAAGAGTGCCCTCTATTCACAATATGAAGGATAACTCAGTAAACAAGAAACCGAGGGATCCAAGTGGAGAAAAACCCTGTGCAGTTATCTTAAGTTCACACTCTAATACTGTGGAGAAGTCAAAGATGGATGTTGATTTACTTTCAACAGCCGAATCATCATCTGCCAGGAAAAGAAGCATCAGTGAAAGTCATTGTGCTGTTCCAACTCATTTTTCTTCTTCGCCAGACATAAATCCTGTGCAAGAGGATGGTTCAACGGGCCAATGTCATCTAAACAGGTCTAGTTCTGACTATCCGTGGCAAGGAGCAGATGGAATTGGAGAAGGAAAGGTTGCTTCAAATTAGATTTTTCAGTTTATAAAAGACACCTGAATGATCTGTTGTCCAAGTATTATTTGATTGCAAATGTCCTTCGCACTGCTTTCTGCTTAGGCAATCAATATCTTTCTGATAAGTTATCTATCAACCAATCATCCTAGCATAGAACCAAATTTATCCCTCATGTTATGTTCTAGATGTTTTCGTCAAGATGTAGTTATCTGATGTAACTCATTGCAAATAACATCACATGTACGTTAGTTTATTGCAGTAATTTATGGTATTTTATTTTCCCAAGCCTTTCTTGTACAAGTAATCGATACATATAATCCATCAAAAAGTCATAATATTTTGCTTGGCACAGGTAGCCTTAAAACTTGATATATACTATGAATTCCTGCTTAAAACTAGAGTTATAATTTGGTTATTTTATGTCGTCTATATATTTTAACTCAATTTGTTTTGCTGCTAATCAATGAATTCTGTTGTTGATGCAGGAGGAAGAGGATTTTGATGCTCAAAGCAGCTTCAAGGGCTTCAGACCATGCAAGAAACCTGCTTGTCTCTAACAGATAATACGGAGGTCGGCGATATCTGGTGTACGCTAAAATCTTGTCCCCTTTGTCTTCTACTTGTACTATGTTAATGCAGAAACGAATAGCTTTATTATACACTCATCGAAACAATTTTGTATGTATCACTTCTCCTTTGGTTGAAATAAATGTTCAACTTTGTCAAATAGTTGACCTGAACACATATCTTATGACACATGAATTGTGACACATGCTATTTCTGCTTTCCAATGAAATCATCATTTCTTACTGCATGGTATTCCGAGTTAATGAAGCATGATAGTTCCTTGTTCCTGCACTTTGCATCATTTATAATGAATTTGATGATCTCACAATCATATCTGCAACTAAAAACAGAAGCTAAGGTTCCTGTTAAAACTGTATCACTTCTCTTTTGGTTTGTGAAAGCTAATCTGAAGCATCTTTCTCTTTGATCTGATTGAACATACAGAAAAATCTACTCTTTGCTTACTCCTGCAATAAATTGCAATATTTTTTCCTTTTGAATTTGAGACCAGAAAAAAAAAGGAGCACATTCTTCAAAATAATAACCATGTATAAACTTAACTAGTAGCATTTACCAGATGATGAATTCATTAGTTAAAAGAATGAATCTAGCATCATTATTTAGTGGTAAACTATTATACTTATTGTTTCCATATCTCAGCAACTGTTCAAAGTACTAAAAGAATTACTACATCTGTAGCTGGAGAATCCATATTGTAATTGTTTCCTGATTGTATGCAAAAGCTTCTAAGCTTAACATGCTTCCATTTCCTTACATTACAAAAGTATATATAAACTTGATGAAGGGGAAAACAAATAATAACAAATCGTTGCAGCATTACAACATACACCTTGCATCACTGGATTGACAACGCATATCGACTCCAAAGCAGTAGTAGTACTTCCATCTTGTCGCTTAGCAGATGGGAAGTGGAGCTCCGTTCCATTCCTTCAAGCATTCGAGGAGCGGATCGATCAGCAACCCTTCGTTGACAGCCATGAACACCTTGTCGAACTCCTCTCCGGGGGATCGCGCCTTCTCGCCGGTGAGGTATGCAACCCCGAGCTCCTCCCTGACGAGCCGATACAACGGGTACGACCTGCACTCCCTGATCCTGTTGGCGATGGCCGCGTTGCCGCCCTCGACCGCGGCCCTCGCCGCCTCCACTTCCTTGGGGAGGACGGCCTTCAGCTCCTCCTCGAAGGCGGTGATCTTTTGGAAGACGGACGTCGTCGCGTCCTTCTCCTTCTCGCCATTGCTCAGAGCGTGCTCCACCAGGACCATCCTCAGCTTGGGCATCAGAGCGTACGTCGAGCTGCAGGGGTCGTCGATGTAGCTGAAGACGTTCTCCCTGTCGACGACCATGATCAGGTCCTTCTCGCAGAAGCGCGAGGGGTGGAGCTCGCCGTTGGCGCCCGTGGTCAGGACCCTCTTGGCGACTTGGCCCACCGTGTTCTTGACCGCATGCTTGAGGTTCTCCTCCAGGTGCCTCAGATCGATGGCTTGGCAGAGAGCAACCAAGTAGGTGGCGGACATGAGCTTTAGAATGTCGACCGCTTCCGCCGTCTTCCTCGAGGAGATGAGTCCCAAGGAGTTGACGTCTTGGTTGTGCTGCTCGGCGCTCTGGACGTGGTTGGTCACCGGGTTGGCGAGGAACTGGAGCTCAGAGCAGTACGCCGCCATGGCGATCTCGGCGCCCTTGAAGCCGTAGTCCAAGCTGGGGTTGCGCCCACCGGAGAGGTTCGAGGGCAGGCCGTTGTTGTAGAAGTCGTTGACGAGCTCGGAGAACTGCGCGAACATGAGCTTCCCGATGGCGGCGACGGCCAGACGGGTGTTGTCCATCGACACACCGATGGGGGTGCCCTGGAAGTTGCCGCCGTGGAGGGCCTTGTTCCTGGAGACGTCGATGAGGGGGTTGTCGTTGACGGAGTTGATCTCCCTCTCGATGGACTTGGTGGAGGCGCGGATGACCTCGATCTGGGGGCCGAGCCACTGCGGGGAGGTGCGGAGGGCGTAGCGGTCCTGCTTCGGCTTCTGCAGTGGGTCTTGCTCGTGGAGCTTCTTGGCCATCTTCATGTAGGAGCTGCCGTCGAGGATGTGCTCCATAATAGCGGCGGCCTCGATCTGGCCCGGGTGGTGCTTCAGCTTGTGGGTGAGGTGGTCGGTGAACTCCGGCTTCCCCTGCATCACCTCGCAAAAGACCGCCGACAGCGCCTCGGCGAGGACGGCGAGCACGTTGACCTCGTAGAGGACGAGGGAGGCGAGGCCGGAGCCGACGGCGGTGCCGTTGACCATCGCGAGGCCCTCCTTGGGCTGCAGCTCGAAGAACCCGTGGGGGATGCCAGCTCGGCGGAAGGCCTCCGCGGCGTCGACCCACTCTCCCCCAGGTGCGAGGGCCTTCGCGTTTCCCCGGCCGGTGAGCAGGCCGGCGATGTAGGACAAGGGGACGAGGTCACCCGAGGCAGTGATAGTGCCACGGAGGGGAAGGCAGGGGGTGATGCCACTGTTGAGGAGGCTGGCCATGGCCTCCAGGATTTCGAACCGTATGCCGGAGTAGCCCTGGAGAAGGGTGTTGATGCGGACGAGCATGGCGGCCCTGGCCGCCGGGGTCGGCAGCGTGTGCCCGGACTCCGCCCCGGAGCCGAATATTCCGGCATTGAGGAATCTGCAGCAAGAAGAAGAAAAAGAATAATCTTAAGGCCGACGATCCAAACAATGATTGCTGCATGCACGGTTCTTATCGATCCACCATCGTATGCACCATTACGAGTCCTCCTTGGCTCGACGACAAGAATCCAAGGTCACCCCCAGTTCCCAGTCCACGAAACGAAACCTAAGAGAAATCCATCCGGCAAAGCTTGACAAGGACAGTGGTCTCGACACCTTCCTCCTCCATTGATTGGATTTGCTATTGTTATTGCTATTGCTATTGCTAGGCTGTACTGCACGATCTTCTCGTTCTCGGAGAAGTGTCGGTGGACAACACGGTAGCGTCCATTTGTGTGAATCCTATGGCTTTGTTCTCTCAAGTTGGATCTGTCTCGTCCTCATGAATGCATCCCATCAGGTCCCTAGACTTTTCTTCCTGCAGTGACCTATCCCACCCCCCCCCGTAACCCGTCGGTGACCTACTCGCCATGGCAACCACCGCACAGCTAGTTTCCTCTATCATCGAAACCACATGGCGCATGCAACACCAAAGCCGCAAGCAACCGGGAACATGCATGTCCCGTTGCTGGTGACCATGACAACTTGCAGCAACATTCTTGTGTGAATTCCTATTGCAGCTTCTTCTTCTTCCCGGAATAAGCACGGGATGTAAGAGAGAACATTGTGGAGATGGGTCGTCGTATACGAACAATTTCCTCAAGGTTTTTGAGTTGTATGATGGTTAGTATGAATCAAGATCTTGATAGGAGTCATTAAACTACCATATGATTCATGGTTTTGACATCTAAGAGGCTAATAAGTTCAGGTGTACGTCTCAGAGAGAGAGAGAGAGAGAGAGAGAGAGAGAAGGCACCTGATAAGCTCCTGCTGCAGGGCGCCGCCTTGCTTGGTGCGCCTGTGAGAGGTGGCGCCGAAGCCGGTGGTGACACCGTAGCTGTCGGTGCCCTTGGTCATGCTGTCCATCACCCACTGGCTGCTGGCGCGCACCCCCTCCCGCGCCGACTCCGACAGCTCCACCCTAACCGCCGAGTGGGGCTCCGTGGCGACCGCGGCCACCTGAGAGATCTTGAGCGTCGCGCCCTCGAGTCGCACCAGGGGCTGCCGGAACTCCCCCACCATCCGCTTCACCTCCTCGAGGTGGCTCCCCGTCACGGCCTCCGCCGCGGCGCCCCAGTTCAGCGGGTCAGTCCTGATGCACAGGCTGCCGTTCGCATGGACGCCGCCGTTCTCCATCTCCATCGATCACGGAACGAGATCCGACGAAAGACCAGAAGGGAGGAAGTGGAAGGTAAGGAAGGTGAGATAACCCTGCGGTAGAGAGGAGCACAACGAAGGGTTAAATACATCAGCTTGTGGTGGCATGGAGAGAGTTAGGTGGGCATAATACTTCAACCACTGGATCGGTCTCGTCAAAGATGGAGGGGAGGAGAGGGGTGGGTGGAGATAAGAGGCATGCATGCCATCGTTTTCCTCACCAATTCTTCCTTCCTCATCCCCTCGTCTTCTCTCTCTCTCTCTCTTTCCAGGACGATCCCGCGGATATGACGATTGCTTCTCCCGAGTAGAAGGTGATTTCCACGTTCATGTCACACCCGAGTCATATAAGCATTCGTCTTTCTTTTCATCTTCTTCTAGTAATGTTGATCATGGCAACTATGTGTATCTTATTTTTCTTTTACCTTATGGTGAGGACTGTGTGGATTGAAGGAAAGTAAAAAAAGAAAAAAAAACTCTAATTTTATTAGCCTTAAAAGATTGAGAATTCTTTTTTAAGATACAGAATCTTTACTACCGTACGAAAAAAAATATATATCGGATGATATTTTGAACCATCAACTAAGATAAATAAAATAAGCATATTATTATCATATTAATGTTTTAGATATAAAAAAATAAATAAATTAAAGATAAGTTCGATTCTATAGTTTTGTCTTTTTTTTTTGTGTGGCTTCTGATCCCACAGTTTTCTATTAGAATGAACTATTTAGTTTGTGTAAATCATATAAAATAATAATTTTAATTAAATTGAACCCAATCGAAGATTTTGTCGTCATTGAAGTATAGGAGAAGAAACGCAAGTGAGAGTTGTTGTACTGCCTGCCACACAGGTCATTGTCCCCACCAACCTCTCTCCTCTAATGAAGTAGGTATGGAAGTAGCTGCCAAATTGCCATGGGAATTGTCCTCACCAACCTCCCTTCTCCCTTCCCTCATAGAACCAAGTAAGAAATAGCTGCCGAATTGCCATGCAAATGGAGAGGAATTGCAAGGAAGATGTAATCCAATTCCTCAGCAAGATTAAAGGAATATGGCTTGTTGAACATACTTTTAAGTCCCTAGACTTTCTGAGAAATGAAAGACACAATATCTTGGAAGTTGTTTCCAAGCTCAAGTTCTTCGATTCAGATCTTCCACAAGATTAGTTGTAGATGACAGATCCTTAGTATGCAGCTTACTCTTTTGACAGTCAAATTCCACTTGAACAATCTTGTACAGGATTACCACTTAATTCAGATGGTATGTATGGATGAATGGTTGTTAATACAAGTATTATGACATCATAAACTCTTTTGACCTCTATCATGACAACAAACAGCACTCCTTCCTTCCTTGGTTCAATTATTAGATACTTAACATGACTTAAGTGGAACCTCGGCATACAATTCTTATGTTTGAGAGACGTTAACTTGGTCATCGAATTGTTAATCTTTTGATACTTGATTTTTTGTTTCGATGAATATTTATAGTTTTTTTTTTTACAAAAACGAGATTTGAGTTCAGAGTCTTACGATAAACTATTAAAATCTTTATCGACTAAAGATTTGAGTCAACTGGACACACCTATCAGTTTATTGATGAGACATGCTCCAAACTTGCTGTCAATTTAACCTTGTGGCCAATAATTTTCCTTTTGTCTGAAGGAAATTTCCACCAACCAAACTTGGAAATTCTGGTCAAGGGTGAGAAAATTGAATGCAAGCCTTTGTTTATGAGACTGGGAGTTTGGTGTGGAATGCTCTTCACCACCAACCATGACAGCCAAATCACATGAGCCTTGGCATAAGGATCTAACTAGCAAAAACAAAGGAAGCCAAAAAGTTTATGCTAGTGGCTGCTGGTTCACTTCCTCCTGCAGATTCAATTGTGGGATACCAAGTAGTTGGTGTAATAAAATCTTAAGAACAGGAGTAGTTAGCAACTTGTTGATGCTTGATAAAAATAATGCTTCCACTTAAACCAACAGTGAATGTAAAAAAAAAATGTCATTTCATTGGGAGTGGGAGTGAGATATGGATCCTCTACACTTTAATGAAATATGTAGAAAGATACATGAATGTTGACATCTCTATATTGGGAGTCCACCCATGGGAGAAGGAATGGGAGATGACAATGTGGCAAGAACTGGTTCACATCTTTAATGAACCTAAAAGTTTAGGAGCCACTCTCAATTGAAGGTTGGTGGGCAATTTATGATGAAGAGAAGATTGTGTAGATCATAGTTGCTGTTGATGGATAATGGAATGGAGCTCCAGAAAACAAGATGCAACACTTTCTATTGAGTTTTGTTGTCCTTTTGATCTGCCACTGAACATTCTTCTTTTCCTTGAGTGATCTCAATTTATAAGCTTGCTTTTGGACACACCTGAAGTGGACAATGCAGCACATAAAGTACACAAATGCCAAGTTGTGACTATCATAGGACATTGAGACCACTCTTAGTTGATTCAGCAGAGATTTCAGAGTTCCATACAAGCCTATTGTAGAAAACAAACATAAAGAGACATCAAGATAGGGGTTTTATTTTGATTTACATAATGATGCCCTTTATTTTTCTTAGTCTCTACAGTTAAATCTAACATAAAATGCTCCATCTTCTTAACTCTCTTTAGTGAAATTGCTTACTTATTTGCTGTCTTTTTACTTTTTCTTGAACAGTCTTATGACTGGCAGTTTACATTATATTTCTTGCATCCATCAACACTCTTTGACTGTCAACTTGAGGGCAGTAGTATGTTTGGGGGGGGGGGGTGGTTGGTTGGTGGGAGATTAAACACTCATATTTGAGGTGCACGGTGGTATCAACTACCCCTGTCTCCTTCATTTTGCTTGCTTCTAGTGAGGTTCCACCCACACCTGCGGCAGCAGCAGCACCACCAAACTTTCACATGTTCAATACATATACATAAACATGACAATATAATAAAATTTTCACTGACCATGCGAAAATATGTTATGGCTCAAAATTTTGATACCTGACCATATCAAAATGGTGGCATCAACTACCCCTTTCTCCTCCATTTTGCTTGCTTCAAGTGAGGTTCCACTCACACCTCCTGCAGCAGCACCACCACCAAACTTTTCACATGTTCAATACATATACATAAACATGACAATATAATAAAATTTTCACTGACCATGCAAAAATATGTTATGGCTCAAAATTTTGATACCGGATATATCGGTTGCAAGCTGGAAAGGTACATAATACATCGAGAAAGAGGAACAGGAACAAACTGGAGAAAAGGAGAAGTATCAAACCAACAAACCGACCATCAACAATAGACAGCAGCAATCGAACACTAGGGAAGAATTGCCCCTTAAAACATTCATAGTGTTCAATGTATGAATCAATGATGACTCTCATCATGATAAATCATCTTGCCATAAAAAATGACATGGTTCAAGACTCCATTGGACAAATTATAAATTGGTCCATTTCTATCCATCATGTTCAAGAGTACAGTAGCAAAAATAAGCACGATAAAAAGGGTATTGTCATGTAGTCTAAAAACATGTTCATGGATCATGTTTTCACTCAATGATGAAGTTAATAGAATTAAGAATTAAATGATGATCTAACCTCAAATAAGCTGCTGGTTCATGACATCATTCCATAAGAAAACCATGAAGCATGCAATCCACACAGCTATCCCAAGATTCCAACTCTGGTTCTTACTTGGGATTTCTGAGCACAATGATGACAGAGTCCTCTCCAAGAAACATTTAACTGATGAATCTATCCTTGTTGACAGTAAGAGCTTTCTTCTTTCCCTTGCCAGTCTTATGTATCTGCAACAACAACAAAAGAGTTCATTAGAAATTAGAGAAAGTGATGACTCCAGGAAGTATGTAGTTACATTACCTCAGTCCACATTTCCCTAACATTTTCAAGGACCATTTTACAGTGGCGGTCGAAAACTTGAGGTAAGAAAACTTACATTAGTGTTGTCCTCCATTGGCTACTGCAAAATGAAACAGGAAGAGTAAGAAGTGATAGAGAAAGATTAATACGCAGTATGATTATAATAAAACTGAAAGCATATACAACTGCTGATTATGGAACTTCAGCAGTAGCATGAAAATACTAATTACAATAGACGCACACAAAGTATGTTCCCAGAAAACTAGAGAAATGTGTTTACGGAGGACATTTTAACATCAACAGAAACTGACCATAGAAAACAACTATCACCAATACAGTTTACAAAGTGTTATTACTTCATAACCACTTAAGGTTCCTTTGACAAATGGCCCACTTATGTTAATGTCAGTGAAATGCTGAAGCATAACACTGTGGCTGATATGACTAATGATAATCACTGGGACATTAATGTCTTGCTCCATAGTATTCATCTCCCTAGAGCCCTCTATGATATAGTCTTGGAATTGGAGCTCAGCTTCTCAAAAAAATATTTCTGCTGGCGGTGGTTACTTTTATATAATACAGATTGTTTATGAGGAGAAAGTTTGGTCGGGCTGGAAGGCAATTTGGTGTCTCAATAAGACTTCTAAAGTGAAACTTTTTTGTGGGAGTTTAGCTGGAATAGACTGCTTACTTTTAGCTGGTTGTCTCATATCCAGTATAGCCAAGTTGAGGTTTGTCCTACTTGTGAAGTTCACATTGATTCTATTAAATGTATCTTCTTTGAATGTTCCCAAGCACTCTGTTCTTGCCATCTCCTTGAACTTAATATGGGCCTCAGATTTAAGTTTTTTAATAGTTGGCACAAAGGTGATTGACCGAAAGAAGGAAAAGAGCATGACCAGTGTTTTTAAGTGGATTCACTGTCTCATAGCTACTTCATCCTGGTTTTTTTGGAACCACAGGAATGAAACTAGATTTCATAACCGTTGGATCGATAATAGCCATGACAAGCTTGAGGGAATTGCAGAAAGGTATGACCTTAGTCAAGTAGTGTGGCTAATCTTGATTATATATTAGAGTGTGATGGCTCATTCAGCTTGTCTAAAGGTCTTGCAGGTATGAGCTTTATCATAAAGAAGGAAGAGGGCACGATTGTTGAGAAGGGTAGTGGGCCTTGTCCAGCTGTTAATCCTACCATCACAGATTGCATTGCACTATTGGCGTGGTTGCAGAGGCTGGAACTGGATATTAGAAGTAATACTTAGGTGCAAATGGATACACTGTATGTTTGAGAGGTCAGTGTACACAACATAGCTTACTCTTAATTGCTGGAGGTAACATATGCATAGGATCTTAATTTCATGAAACACAACGTGGCTTACTCTTTGAGATGTCACTGTGCGCTTTTTCTTTTGTGAAGCAACGTTTTTTTTTCTTTTGTGAAACAGCTGTGTGGCAATTACTGTAATTCTTTATTAAGTGCAACACATGGTTCTTTTCTTTCAAAAATAATCCACACACACAGTTCACAATGACATTTGCACAGGTGCCATGTGTTGTGCGTGAGCATGTGTGGAGTACAGTTACTATGATTGATGTCGAAGTAAAATGCAACAAATAGGAAAGGAGCACGTGTTAACCTTCGCGCAATGTCAGCATGATACATATATCATTGCATCAAGGAGTATCCTTTTCGAGTTAACTCTCAATTACTTGTTGCCATATTCTTAAGATCTTGGAATGTGTTCATAAAATTCTAACACATCCAAGTAGTCATCAACTTTCACCTTTGCACAAGGATACTGCTATTAAGTTCATTTCGACCTACAATGTGTAAAATCTCTTATTTAACAATCTAATCAGAAGCAAAAATTCCAGGCCAAACAAGATTATCCCACGTAAAATCTTGAGCAATAAGCGTATACAACAAAGTTAAAAAAAAAATGTTTAAACCTTCATAAACTTATGGCTTGAATTATGTCTTTGTCAAAAAGCAAAATGACGATATTTTCCTAACTAAAAGTGGATAATTCGATCCTATTACCTCCAACAAATAAAGCCTAGTCCATGTGCAACTCTCAGCCTGAACTTGCAGAATCAGCAAAATCATACAGCCAAGTAGTCCACAAAACGAACAACAATTTTAATCGATACCATAAGGACCCTAAACCCTCCATTCCCAAGCAGAAGCAAAACCAAACCATATGTATCCTAAACCTTAACCCAGAACAGGTTTAAAGGCAACGACTTTGCCACAAGAAAAGCATCAATCACACAGTGCAAACATATACGGTGCATAAAGAAACAGAGGAAAGAGTAAAACCGAAAGGTATCGGAGGTGCCCGTCGAGTTCTTCCTCCGGTCGCTGGCCCTTCCCCATGAAGCCCTAGTGAAAGCAGCGAGTGTGCGAATGCGGCCGTGAACGAAAACGAGTTCCGCCGCTTTTATAGTAGCCGGACCCCACACGGCCTTGTAACGGCGGGGCACACGCCGTTTTGAAACCCGAAAATTCTTGACCGTCTGATTTTATCCAGTTGTATTGTATGGATACGTGGCAGACTCGAATAAATATTATTATAATTCATTAGTAGCAAAACTATAATTAAGATATTAATTTATATCCATTAAAGTGATGGGTCTTATGGGGGGGGGTGCGCGGGGCCGCTCCAATTGGTTTAATAATGTCCAAAAAATTTTATATTTTCTTAGATTTATACATATCTGAAACAAATAGGGGAGATAAAAATTACCTAGGAGTGCTCCAAATAAGATGAATAATAATAAAGATATTATTTTGATGTGTGGTGTAGACAAGGATGGATATTTAAAGATGTTTCTTTTTAAAACTTAAATTGAGTTTTTTTTTCATCTGACTCTCACATCTTTTTTTTTTTTGCTAATAATTTTAACCCTCATCTCATGAAAAATTTTCTCATTGTCCTTAATAACAAGTTCAATACTATTATCAACTCAATGTCTTTTAATTTTTTTTTTATCTTATTTAAGTTCCCCACCAAGACTCTTGTTCTTGGGATGAGTTTAAATGTCATAAACATAGTAGAAATTGCTTAAGTCATGATGTATTATTACGCTAACTTCTCAAACTTAATTGGGATTGTCTAAGTTATGATGCTCCCTTTCGATATGCGTCCGTAAATAGTCAGTCAATTTGTAATCTCGCTTAGGTCCCGTATGACTTATAAAAGGAGAGAGTTGATTAGTTCGAAAGCAAGCAGCGGACAAGTCCCGACATCTCGCAAAGAAGGAAGTTTTACAAATAATTCAGCAAGTACTTTGAGTGCAAGAGAGGAAGGAAAAAGCAAGGACTTTAGAAATTAAACGAACAATTGTAAATCCACAAACGACTACTCATCGGGTGTCAGGTGTGAGATTTTTTCACCCTTTAATCTATGCTTCCATTTCCTTTATTGTTAGTGTAAATTTTAATTATTGATTCGATATATCAAAACTGACTTGCTGTGCTTAGACAAGATATATCAAAATAAACTTACAAAGGTTATTTATCCAAGATGACTTGATTTTGATTTGGAGACTTTCTGGGAGATTTTCTCTCAATGTGGATCTCTTAGATCTTTTCGAGTAAAACTTAGAAGCTACTAAGTTGAATAAACTTTTACCTACTTTCTCTTTTAAAGAAATTATATCCAAGGAAGTATCTAATAACTATTATTTTGGTTCAATGTTATGAATCCAATGTGTAATCGCCAATAGGAAAAATACACTATATTCCACCACTCAAATACCTTAACTATAGATTTAAGAATACTCCTTAAGATATGTAAAGATTCTTTGTATGAGAATGAGAATAAGAATAAAAATTATTTTATAATTCTATTAATCTTTATTTATATGGTTGAGGAGGTTACAATATTCTCCCTCATGAATTATGATCATTCAACTGAGGATTCAACCTCTTGTGACTCCATGATAGTTATTTGAAACTTCTATAATGAGGAATAGTTGTAACTCCTACATTTTCTGAGTGTTACGGTAAGTAACTTTTTTAGCCGTGACTTCGGGGTCGACGCAG